AAATCTCGGCCGGCTCCGCCAAATTGGCCCTTTACGCCCGAACACCGGACTCTTTTGAATCGTCGCGCAGCCAGCCAGCCAGCCCGAGACAACTCGAGGATCTCTTCTTGCCGTCTCCTCCGTATCTTTTTTTTCTTCTAGTCGGGAGATAGCGCACAACGTACGTACGAAACACCTTTCTGTGGACGAAGGTTGCTGGAGAGCGGACGACCGCTGGAAAGGGGTTGAGCTCTTGACATATTGCTACCTAGGCAACTCAACCAAGTGCTCTTCAAGTTCTTCCTGCCCGCATCTATCTCGCCCGCTCCGTCCCTCGCTCGACCTTCTTTCTCCTTGTCCTCGTCGCCCGCTTCTCCACAGCGGTCGCTTCCTACGAGCAGCTGGCTGTCAGTCCGCGCCGTGAAATCGTCGGTTTCGCGAGTATTTCGATCGGTGCTACGTTTTCAATACGCATTTTTCGTCGAGCGCTCATCGGTCGATGCGTCGAGAAGAAATACTCGATCCGCCTCGCGCTCGTGATCTGAGGTGATGGTGAGGTGATAAACCTGACTGCTCGCATGCATTTTCTCTCACTGTTCTCGGCGTTGTATTTTTAATCTTTTCACTTTGCGCTGAAACTTTCCCCTTCGATCGCATCGTCGAACGTTGAAAGCTTGCCGGTAATTCCCGCGGAAACATTTAGCGGAACGTGCGCGAGACCAAATCAAGTTCTTCGTTTCCTTTCGCAGCGGTCGCTGGAGGAAAACGTGCGAAAAACGATTCTGTCTCGAATGAAAAACAAAGCGTGTTCAAAAAGATCGCTTCTTCGTCTCATCGACTCGTACACATAGAACTCGGTACTATACTGAAATATTAGCTGCCATAGCAGAGTTGCCATAAACTTGGAAAACCAGGAAAAGTTATGGAAATTTAAAATGTCAGGGAGAACCTGGAGAATTCAGAGAAATATATAAAAAATGTTGAAATTTTGAACTTTGCTTATAATTCCCTCAAATGCTTTCAACTGTATTCTCCTTTCGAATACTTATTTATTTTTTTATTGACCTGAATTGCATTTAGGATTATATCATGTTACTAAACTTTTAAATTTGTGTTTCTTCTAATAATATAAACTACCTTTCCTGCAATCCCTACTTCTAAATGTTAAAGTTTAAAATTACATATTGCTTATGGGAAATTCTTCACTGTCGTCTGGAAAAGTCAGGAAATTTCAAAATTCATTTTCTGTGGTACCCTTGCACAGGAGAAAACGGGCGAAATGAGACAGAAAGAAGAGACACACTATCTGTGTCCTTTTCTGATATAGCATTCTTTCAGTTAAAAAATATCAATCAGTTCATTCAAAGTATTGCACTCGCAATTTCCGTATTTGATAAAATTCTCATATTATTGGGAAGGAAAAAATATTAAAATTTGGTGTCACAGAAAACTGTAAAAACTGCGGGCAATATGATTCGAATATCACTTTTCATAAACAAATCAGCACATTCGGATGTCTGTAAAAAGGATTATAGAAAATCATCGACCAGAAATGATTAGATAGAGAAAAAAATATTACTTATGTCACCTATTATTTATTACGGTTTCTCAACATGGCATCTAGCATTCCAATAAAAAGAAAAAAAAAAGAGTTCTATCGTATGCGAGCGATAACATAACCTCCGCTTGAATTTTGGAGCGCTCAATGCGCAGAACGCCGCACATAGAGTGCTACTACACTCTGCTACACTAAATGCCGCAGCGCCGAAGTGGGGAGGACGATTGAGGGACTCGTGGTCGAACAGCTGACCTGCGCAGGAGTGGGGGCAAGGCCGCGTTCCGTCACGTACGGCCATGACGTTACCACCTACATTTCCCGGAACGCGGTCTTATCACCACCCACGCACACGTGTTTACGCGAGCACGTGCTCTCGGCGACGCTGCGCGGGCCGAGTTGCGTCGATCGAGAGCGCGGTGGTCGATGCGCTCGTCGATACCTCTGCTTCTAGACGTCGTAGCGACGTGAAATAAAAACCGTCGTAAAGCTGGGATTCCCGCGCTTCCGACAGATGTATGTACAGTCGATTCTCTTCGCGATGAATGTCAGCCTTATTGGAATGCAGCGACTGGAAATGTCGATCGTCCACGAGTCGAAGAGGGAATTAACTCACGATAGGAATAGAAAAACTGCGTCGGCTTGGATTGATAATATCGTCAAGTCTGCCTTCGTTCTTGATGACCTAAGGTGTATCGGAGAAAAAAGGAAGTAATAATGCTCGTACGATATTGTTGTACATTGAGAAAATATTGTAGTAAAAATCACTACAAAAGTTTGCAATGCTGGATTATTATCAACATTATTATGTGTGCTGTAATCTTTAGCGATGTGTACATGATATACATTACTAAAGATTATAATATTATACATCATAATTTCAGCCATAATTCCAATATGGTCCAACATTACAAAATTTCGTGATAATTTTTACTACAATATTTTCTCTATGTACGGTTAGGCGGTTACGCTACGAGAAATGCGACGTTATACAAATGTTTGGCCCGAATACACACGAAATTAAAAGTCAAGATGTATCCCCGTAAAAACATCGCGCACAACTTCGGGAATTATTCATCTGTATTTTCACCAAAGTTATGTAGCGCAATGTTGCGCCGATGTCACGAAAGTATGTCAGGAATATACGTTGTTTGGATGCGGCGGGAGCGACGATTTAATTGTATATAATGATATCTTAAAAAAAAGAGGGCACGATAAAATCACGTGCCGATCCGTAGCGTTCAGAGACGAGCAAATAGATTGACAGGCACTCGCGTTACTTTCTTTGTGTTCACGGCGCATTCTCGGTGGCAGGTTCGTCATCGGATCGTAATAAAGCGTGCCGACGTTAATTAACGTTTGGAACTTGAGTTCTTTCGCGGGGAATTAACGCGCGATTTTTACGCGATACCGATATCCCCCCCCCCCCCNGAGGGCACAGACGAGAGTGAGAGCCTTGCGTTGTTCAGAAAACCGTCACCAGATTCCAGCGTGATTTACCCGATGAAAACGCGCCGGTGGGCAGCAAAGTGTTATCGATGAGAGTTTGCGTAGGCATTGTTTTGTAGTTTGCTACTAAACGCTCCATCCATCACCCGCTATCTTGATGAAATATTCCACTAGTTCCCATTCACGCGGCGCCAACTGCTTAACTCGAGCGGCAGTTCGCTAATTGTGAACCTGATTATAACCGATGCGCGACAGTCGGAGCGTCTAAGAACGCGCGGTGCGTGCGATTCACTGAAAAATTGATTGGAACTTTATGTAATCGTCTGTCGCGATTCACCGTGTAGCCATTCCGTAGATCATCGTCGCGTCATCTAACGATAAATCGTCAAAAATGGGGAGCATTTGTAGAAAAGGATCTTCTTTTCTGACGATTACGAGTTTATGCGAAAGACCGCGGAATAGGTCGTCGATTTTCCTAATTGTTCGCGTATAAGCATGTCCTTTTGTTACGCTCGCGCCTCACTTTCCTTCGGATCTCCTCGATTTAATTTAACATTACTCGAATCCGCGCAGATTTGCATAAGAATATAACCCGAGGCAATGGCCGCAGACGGAGGGACTTCGTTAAAGAGGTATTTATAATTTCTCTCTGTCGTAAGGCCGGCGAAATTTCAGAAAGCCCTCCGATTCGAGCGAGCTGTATACTCGCGCGATACAGAGAGAAACAGAGAGACGATTGTTCGAAATACTAGAATTTCGCTTTATGATATTTTTAACACTATTCACGGATTTCGGAACGCAAATTCATTCGCTCGCTACTCTCTAAATTTCTCGGAGTGAAATCTCCACTTGAAAAATGGAGTGACAGCCACGTAACTCGGAAATTGGAGTGAATTGTCACTCTTATGGAGTAAGTTCTTCCACCCTATAACGTGGAGTGAATATTTTCACTTTGTCGTGAAGTTCCATTCGAAAAATGAAGTGACTACCGAATCACTCGAATTGAAATGAGTTTTCACTCTGATGGAAAAAATTCTTTTACCTTCTATATCGTAAAATGAATATTTTCATTTCGAATCGGATATAGCCTAACCTAATTTAATAGCGCATATTACAAGTTGGACGAGCCTTACTGCAATCGTCCTATAGCAATGTCACTTTTTTCGGTTCACGATTTCAGTTCACGATTTATTAAATTTTATACAGAACGTAAATTTGAATAAAAATATTTAAAGAACTGTTCTATTTATTTCTTGAATATTATTATATAAGATTTCAAAAAAACTATATTATTCTACGCGATAATATGTTACATATTTATTCTCAAATATAAGTAAAGGAAAGAAGGGGTGGGGATCCTGTAGGATTCGGGACTATAGACAATACGAAATTCACTTATCAAACAAGGTGAGATGGCATAGTGCCAGGTGTAACAGACTCAGGATCCCTCAGGAAGTTCTGAGTTCAAACATAGCCAGCGGCGAACAAATGTTTTAAATATAAATATAATATAAATATAATTGATTAAATGGCATATAACTGAGAAGATTTTGAGACAAAATCTCATGAATAACACGTTAAGAACGCAATAAGAAAGAATACGCGTTAAAGAATTAAATTAGCAGAATCCACTCTTTTTGGTGTGTGAAACGCTCACTCCATTTCAATATTTTCGCTATCCCACTCGTTTGGAGTTTTCGCTCCAAGAAATTTAGAGGGTACGACACGAGAGAGAGAGAGGCGCCGAGAAAGAAACAGGCCGTTGTCGTAATCAATCTCACGCCGCTTTATACATTCCAATTAGCTCGGTAACTGGCCGACTTCCTATAGGTGATTTCCTATTAATATCCTCGTCACTGGCCACACGCGCGGTGACCTGGATCGATGAGAGTTTCGGGACACTTTCCCCTTGTAGACGCGGAAATTTCGCGTTCTCGTCCTTCGCGTATCTCAAGCGCTCCCCTCGTCTCTCGTTGGATCTGTTTGATCGTAACACTTCGCTCTCGTCTGATTGCAGGTGATATGGGTGTGCATACTGTGCCGGAAGAAGCAGGAACTTCTTTCGAAGACCGGACAATGGATGACAAAGACTGGGCTCGCCGCCGCGGACAGCGCGATGCTGCGACAAATGCAGGAGGACATGCAGGTGGGTGGTCCTCAGGGACTCGCGGACCAAACTCAGGATAAAAGACCGAAACTCGAGAGGGCGCACAGCGCGGCTGAGAAAGAGAATTTGCCGTTGTTACAGAGAAGCGGAAACTGTCTGCTCAGGAGACAGTACTCCCAGCAGGAGCAGGTAACGTTCCCTTCGCTCGCCCGATATCGTCTCCTCCTTGCGGGGGGGACTTTATTTATGAAGCAGCTATTTTCGAGCCCGTACCGCGGATGCGTCGCGCTAAATTCGCACTTGACTTGAGTCTCCTTCTCCACGACTTATTTATTTACGAGCGGGGGAAAGAGAAAGAGAAGATCTCGGAATCTCGGTCCGCGTAATCGTCGCCGCGCGCGAGTAAATTTCATTCCCGCTGTTGCAGATCACAGGCCGCCGAATGTCCACCAGCGACAGCGGGGTCGAGATGTCAGTTTCGCCTCACGCGAGAACTTTGCCGACACCCCATGTGGTGGTCGGCTCTTATCCGGTGCAACAGACTCCGCGACACCCCGCTACCTTCCCCGACGACGATCCTAATTTATACCGAGGCGAGATCGACGGTCTGATGAGGCAACACTCGCAAAACTATCAGAGGCAACGGACGACCTATCCGGTGAGTGAGCCGAAGACCTGGAGTCGAGCGGAATGCGTGCAATGCGATCGACATTTCTGAAAATCTTCAACTTTGCAATATCGCGCTACCTTGCTTTGTTCGTCGAGTTAGTTATTATTAATCTTTATTTTTCATTATTGGTCCCGAGGATGAGATCACGACTCGAGACGTAACTCGCGATTTTGACCGGTTCAATTTGACAACTGGTGGTAGGTTATGTCTTATATTCAATCTTCTAAATCGTAATATTGATTGCTCATTTATATTAGAATTCCCAAAACTAAATATTCCGCCAAAGACTTTAAAAACACGACCTACATGGAACGAATTTTATACGGTTCAAATTCCCATATCACGTTTAACAGTCAACTTATCCTTCGATTCTTTTTTCACAATAATCTGACAACATTTAAATGCTCTTTTTTGGTGTTTTGTTTTCATTATACTACCGTCATTATTTATATTTTAATCATCTTATAATTTCTTCTCTTAATGTCTATTTATGTATACCAAAGGATGCTTCTCGTTAATAAAGATTATTATTATGATGATATTTGCAGGATCAGGGTGCCGATCTCGGGATGACTTACGGCCAAACGACGGTAGAATCCGCTCCCGTTCGGGCCGCGATGCAGCAGCACTCGATGCATCAGACACAAGGCGGGCATCCCGCTCAGCCCGCCTCGACGGTGGGCGTTCAGCAACAAAGGAGTTTCAGCAGCAGCGAAGAGGAACGGAGCACGCCGGAGTGCGCCAGCGACGAGCCGGACGAGTCGGAGAAGGGTAAGTGAATCCTCCAGCTCGATATTTATTTCTGGCTCGACGACTTATCGCTCGATACACACCGATCAAGCAAACTCATATTTTATGCAATTAGCGAAATGAGTTGACGGGGCACTCGATGCCACTTTTGCGATATCGTGCAGACTCGCGATTTGCATTCATCTCTCGAAGGAGTCTCGTTTCGAGGAAGACTTCAGAGGAAGAATTTTTACGAGTAGATCTTTATCATACGTATAATTGGCGCAGAATTGAAAGTACGCAATTTGGTCCTCCATTTGCGTCGTAAAGGCAACACAATGATGTACATACATATGGATCGTCGGAAATTTCCAGAGAAAATTTTCGCACAGGACGCGTTACATCCTTCGTATGATCCTTCTTACTGACCCGCCACATCGACCTATCGGGCTAATTAACGGAGCAAACCTCTCGACAGTTGGACCGTCGCATAAAGTCTACGTTGCATTTCGCCCTGTATCGGCATTTGAGAGCGGCCGCCAAATTGACTCCGGAGCACGACGGAGCGAGCCGATCGAGAGGGTCGTCCTTGAAAGTCGTCGCACGAGGAAAGCATGGTCTTTCCGTGTCAATAGATATTTGGTTTACGAGGGAAGCGTGCCCGTGTGTATCCACGGCACTTGCGATCACGGAGAATGCAATCGATCGATCCAATGCTCGTGTTTGTTCGCAATGTGCGCGCCGAGGAATTATAATTACACGTCGGTCGTGTATGTGTGGTTGCGCGGAATAAAATGTATATTCGGTGGCGGGTACACTCGAGACGATACGAGATCGGATCGGGTTTAATTAATCCCGCGAATTTTACGAGCTCGTTCTCGCGGAGATGAAGCCCGCGACACGAGCGAGTTTGTTCTTCCGTGTGTAACCGACGCGGCCCGAAAAATCGGGGGAAGAGAGCGGTGGAAGAACGGCGTGTGTGTATGCATGCACGGCTGATTAGATGCGGGATCGGCGAGCTGTGAACCGTATTCATCCAGGTGCGCGCAGCAGCACCTGTGGGGAGTGTGTGGCTCTCGTACAGGAATAAACTTGGACTCTGCCTCCTCTTGCGCGCTACTTTTTCCACCGATGAAGGTCGCGGACTCTGCTTTCTCGCGTCTCGATTGCGCCGCGGAAAATCCACGAAAGTTCCCATCTCCGCAGGAATTCCGCGACGGTGCGCGTCGGCTCCCGAGATCGCGTTGCTAACAAATATGGCGACGTGTAGATTTCTATCTCAAACAGAATCGCTACGTTCGCCGGATAAAACGGTCGACTTTCAGAAGATGGGTGGGTCTGAAAATACACAGGGAAAAAGATTTATTTGGATTTAAAAGAATTTCTTTAATGAAATAAATTTGTCCTCTGAAATGGAGCAAACAAATGAACGTTTGATTCAGCAAACAGGATTGTTCCTCAAACATAATAAATATCTCTACGTCAAATAATATATTTCTTTTGTATTCTCATTTAAATGTTACAATGGTTGTCACAAGGAATAAATTATTCGAAAGAAGTAACACTATGTTGAAAAAATACTAAAAAGCTTTTTCGTTTCAGTGGAACAATATATAGTAAAAAAACACGACCTTTTTTTATTGAAAATATGATTTTCTCTGAATAATACTGTTTTTTCTATCAAATAATATGGTTTTACTAATGAAGCAATATCTTTATTTAAAGAAAATCGTATTCGATATTAAAATATGTTGCTTATATTAACCCGAGAATAGTCATCTTATTTTCTTTTTACGTAAATAATCGCGAACACTCGATGTGCTTATTCCGTTTCTTAAATTTTTTTTAGTTTCTTCTCATTTCTTCAAAAAGTAACGAATAAATCTTTACGTTTATAATGTCCCTAAATAATAATAAATCATAGAGCAATCGATGACATACTATATTTTGTTAATGATAACGACTTTTAACTGTGGTCTGAATGACCCTAAGTGACTGTTTCGGGATTAAACAAACCTAAGTCGAGCAAACGCGCATACTAAACCCAAAGAAACTCTTTTCTCTGCGTAAGATCGATCATTTTCACTTAACGCCCGCGCGACAGTTGTGTTCGCTGAACGCGAGCAGGTCCCTCATCTTGGAAATCAAAGAGCCGCAGAGGCCCGCCTGCTTCCCAAGAGGCAAACTTCAGATCGAGCGATCGATAACGTTTCGCGCGCACAGAACGCGCTCAGTCATAACCGAGCCAGCTGTTGCAACGCGTCAAGCGCTAATTACGTACGCGACATTGACGCGCGCAAACTTCGCCGAGCTAAACAGTGTAAAGGTAATCGAGATAGGATCGCGACGAACAATACGGTCGCGTTTAATAATTTCCACGCGAGCGCATTGTGTGACAATGATAGAAACGCATGTTGAAATGTCACGTTATATAACTTGATGCGCGCTTATCGATTTGATAATGGCCCGGCGCACGCGGCTGCCTCTTTTCAGTTTTCGCGATCCACGTCGACGCGAGTGATACGAACCGTCGGGACGATATCGATCGGACGATTGCGACGCACACGCGCGCGTCCGCCTGTCTAGCTTCGTTCGTCGCCCGAGATAGATGTCCCCGTGGCCGTCGTTAAATCTGCGATCGGCGCGACCCGTGTATTGCGCCGTATCGCCCGGTATCCTGCGGGAATTCTCAGGTTCTGCCCTCCCGGTCTCGCCGTTGCATTGATCTTTGGCGTCCTCTCGCCCCTCCCTTCCCCTCTCCCACCCCGCTTGCTTCTCTCCCGCTCTCTTTCTCCCCAACACGGTCTTCCTACCCCATCCCTCTTCCTCTTTCTTAGCGCTCCCGCTCTCACTCGCGCTACGCCCACACGCTGGGCGGTGACGTCACGCGGCCAGCACGTGGGCGAATTCAAACATTCGCCCCTTCTTCGTTTCTGATAGTCTTCGACCCCTATCGGTCAGAGCCTAGGCAGAAAAACGTCGCCATCACCGCCTTGCGAGGCACGCTACTCTCACTCGCTCGAGATTCATCGGGAGATCATCTCGGGAATTATTCTGCTTCCCGGTAGCCGAATTTATGAGTACATTTTTGCCCCTCTCATCTCGTTAGCTTGAGCCAAGTCTACCCCCTTCTCTCTCGCTCCCGCTCTCCGAGGACGATTCGAGGGCATCGTAGGCGCGCGCGTCATCGCACTAACGCACGAGGAGTTCGGTGAATTTAGCGCTCATCCTCGTCGCCTTTGACATCGATACATCTATAATCCGAAATTACACGCATCGTCATCATAGGTTTGTTCTCGGTAAAAAATATTGTTCGGTAAAAAAAGGGAGAAAGGGAAGGAGAGATAGATAGATAGAGGAGAGAGAAAGAGAGAGAGAGAGAGCAAGGGAAAGAACAAAGCAACATCCACGGATCGGGATTACGAAATGTCATGGAGAGCACAATGAAAATCACGTGAACCCGCGTGCCACTCTCGGCTCGTTACTTATGAACAGAGCTCGGAAACTTTGACATTTTCCCTCCCTCGGGGCGATGAAAGAACTGCGTATATCATACTATAACGCTTTTCGAGACCGATGAGAGAAGAGAATAGCGGCGCGCGACCGTCCGCCCATTGACGCCTTCTTTCTCCTTCTCCCCTCTTCTCCTCCTCTGTGTGCCCCCTTTCTCTCTTTCTCTTTCATGTTTTTACGTTCGCTTCGCGATTCTACGCTACGCGACGCGCGTCGTCCCGCAAAAATGCGTGTCGTAATTATCGCGTGCGCGATAATTCATATGCGATTCGCGCGAGCGTTTTTATGATTGATTATTCGCAACGAGGGGTGAGGGTGTACTGCTGTACACCCTCGCCCGACGCGAAAACTAGCGTAGTCGCGTTTTATTCGGTATATCAGCAACAACGGCGACGGTGGCGGCGTTTCATGCGCCAGTCTAGTTTTTGCGCGTTCACCCACCGCGCAACGGGGTCGCTAACTTCCTCGGTAGGCGACCTCATATAAATTTAATCCGAAGACGCTTGCAATTTGACGGTAGGCCGAACAGACCGCTTCATCGTCGTGTTCATTTTTTACCGCCATAGAGTGCTCTCACTCTTCCTCCTCTTTTCTTTTTTCTCTCTCTCCCTCTCTCTTTCTCTCTCACTCTTTCTCTCTCTCTCGCTCTTTCTCTATCTGTCTTTACCTCGTCCCGCATAAATCTGGCGCCGCGTGCGCCCGTCCGCCCGCGAGTATCGAAATTAGTTTTTACGTAGAAATTAAAGCGCGTATCTATTTCCAGAAATATGTACACGCACGCATACGGAAACAACAAGAGAGAGGGAGAGAAAGAGAGAGAGGACGATCAAATCGTTTAACATTATACTTTTACCTTTGCACTATACATCCTCCGCATCTCGCGACGTATATATATTGTGTTATATTTGTAAAATAAATCCGCGCGCGATGTTGCGCGCACGCATCGAAAATAATTTCCACATAGAAGGTAAAACGCGTAATCGAATGTATTTTGGGAAATACATGTATGCGCGCGTCCAGAAGTGGGAGAAGGGAGGACCGTATGTGAACGATCGGATCGGTTAATGTTATTCTTTTACCTTTGCACTATAACAACTGTAATATGTGTGTAATATATACCGCATTACATTTTAAATATCCCCGGTGCATTAAGAGCTCGTATTTTTCATTTCGATTAATCACGTCTGTGAAGTTGACCTCGCTTTCAAAATAAAAAAAATGAGTAGAATGCTGATTGCCCCCCAGAAAGTTCTAAAGTTTTCTATCGATATTAAAATGAGTTCCGTCGATTAAAGCGGTAAAAATACGAAATGTACGAGCGAGTTACGGAAGTAACGATTATCCCCAAGCAGGTTCGCGTACTTACGGAACCGTGTGATAAGTACGCACAAATACGCAAGCATGCGCAAATGTAAATGCGAATATTCGATGATGCAAATAGTTAGATCAACCCTCCTTTAGATTTTTCAGAGAAAGAGAGGCAGAGTAACAGAGAGAGAGAAAGATGCTCGCGTACACGGCTTTGATCC